AGCCAGACAGATACTCTACCCAATCAATCTGTTCATAGTCGACCAGCACATTCTGAAAAGTATATTTCGAGTGAAGGAGTTGCAAAGCAATTAGGTGGTGCAGAAACGATATCTTTACCAGTAACTACTCCTATTATTGCGAGCTCCTTAATGTCACCAATATTAATATATATCATACTCACCTTACTAATTCTTGCAATTATATAGTTCATGATCGGGAGAAGGATATGGAGTTCATAGAAAAAAAGTAATACTAACTATTCTCCTAACTGGAACTATTTTTTATCATCCCCAGATATTTCTTAGGCCTGGCTATACAATCGAAAGCCGGAAGTTTGGAGTGATCATCCTAGGCCGGAAGGTCGAAGATAGGAATTGAAGTTAGCTAGGTATTATTGCATGAGAAAAAATATGTAAATAATATTATGTGAAGTGTCTTATGACTTAGTACTTAGCTGAAATTGTCACATTCAGCTAAGAGTTCTTAATTATATAATTCAATAATATCATTTATATCTGCTTCGGACGAATGATTGAAATACCTAGAAAGTTTATTGAAGGCTCTTGATATATCTTATAAGCCAGTTTTTTGCTTTTTTCTGGGAATAATCATCGATCTCCTTTTCTCTTTTGTCCGAATCTTTATTCTGCATTATTTTATCTGATAGGGGTGGTTGAAAACTATCATCTTCATTAATGAAGCGTGCGCACATCCCTACAGTTTGTTCTAAATAGTATCTGATATCTATCTCCATATTAAACTCTTTCGCAATATTTGCGAACTCCATATAATCACCCTTCCTTGTTGATTTTGTACCATCTTCTTTATAGCGAGGACCATCGTTCACTACAACATAACTAAACTGCTCGTCAGAGTCAGGGATCTTTATATTTTTTCTCCGCTTGCTATTCTTTCTCTCATCCGTTCCATAAAGATTTTATTACATGCGAGACCTCCTTTAGCCTTCCATTTAGACATTGCAACAAATTGGTTAAAATTCTACTGCTTAAATCTAGCATCCCAGAGAGCGTCTTCAACAATTTTACAAATTGAACGTGTATTATTGATACCCCTTGCCTCCCACATAATCTTTTCTCCGATAAACCTGAAGAGCTCAGAATTCCCTTGCTTCACAGTATCAATTCCTCTC